GCAAGGTTCCTGATTTTGCATTACAGCTAAACCATCCGGCCTCTGTGATATAGTAGTTAGATCCTCTACCGTTGCACGCAAGAGAAATAAGTTCGATTCCCTTGGGGTGAGTCTTTTTATGGAATGTCTTTGTCTTTCTGCTGGGACGTTGTACCCCTGTCAGCTTCAATTGTCCCTGAAAGGCAGGGTCGAATCAGCCCACCTCCTGAATAGTCTAAATAGTGTTAATGTGGGGTCTGAAACTTCTACAAGGAAAAGGAAAAAAGAAAAGGCTGACAAGTAATCAATAACGCAAGTGTCTCATAATTATTTTAAAAAAACGATTCCATAAATCGGTCGGAGTTGGATCGAACACACTTAATAACTGTGTTTCAGAAAATAATTCTGTATGGCAAGCAGAACAGGAAACCACTTAATGATAATGTGTGTCATTCAGATTCATTACGTTTCTCTCTCTCTCTCTCTCTCTCTCTCTCTCTCTCTCTCTCTCTCTCTCTCTCTTAAATTATGAACACTGGCACTTTTTATCTACGTACATTTTCACGCTTTGGATATTCTATTTTGTCATTTTTCTTGAATTGGTAGGTATTCACACTAAATGTGTTTGTCAAAGTGGACAGAAATGTCATGTGTGTTACTACGTCATTTTGGCATCATCTTTAAACGATAAGCTAACAATTAATTACAATACAGTTTCATTTCAAAAGACCACATAGTATAACATTAATGTCAAAACATCTATTAGTGTGCACACCTTTTAATCACTTAAAAAGCTAATAGTGTGCACAGCCTTTAATTGCTTAAAATCTCTGGGTTCAGATCGCAGATGACGACACAGCAGGAACCCTTAACCTGAAATGTCTGAGTGCGTGTCTGGATGCGTTTGACGCTTTGCTGAAGAATCTCAGAGACGGATCGCTGAGCCGGCAACCCCAGGATCTGAGTAAGAGGTCTTACTTTGGTCTCAATCGTCTGCCTCCTTCCATGGGTATTCTGGATTTCCAAAAAGACAGCGAAACAAATTACAATCTGGCTCGCGCTTGTCTTTTTGGCAACCATGACAACCAACTGGGTAGTGCAAAGATCATGACGCCCGCAGGGACATTCCTGGTGGTCACCCGTGTCTCTCTAGGCAATGGTACTGGTCATCCTGGTAGAATCACTGCTGTGGGGGACGGTCATCTTGAAGTGGACACGGCAAACGGAAATTTGATCATGGAGGTCAAGGATGTAAATGGACTTTCAGTAAAAAAGGAGACCCTGGAAAGTCGCCACCACCTTGTCAAAGACCTGACTCTGGGAGAACTTCCTGAGGTCAACGAAAACCTGCTGACAGAGATCAGGAAAAAGGAGAAGTACTGGGTGAAGCAACTGACCCAGTACAACCCTACATCCATCAGAAGTCAGCTGTTTGGGACGACCTACATTGAATGTGGAGACCCGTTTGATTTTGAGGAAAAAAGAGTTGACATCACCGCAAAGAGTGATTGTAACGCGGAGCAGGTGGTCACATTTCTGGGTCGTGTCTGCTGCACAGACAGTGTGCACGTTGGCGTGGTGGCTGACATAGAGGACGCACCGAGACCTCTCCAGCCGATGCTCTCTGACGTCATTCCGGCAATCATCAAGATGGACTTTTCAGAGACAACGAGCAGCAACGTGGTGTTGTGTGCTCAAGCTCTGGCCGAATTTGGAAAGAAGAAGACCTATATCCAAGACGTGTTTCGTCGATATACCAGTCTGAAAGAGGTTGAGAATCGCCCCTATCACAATCTGGTAATCGGAGAGGACAAGGATGTAAGCGAAGAGCGTCGCCGGAGGCTGTTGGCCGACTGCAAAGTCCTGGTCCTGCTGGTGGAGAGACAACTCCAGGTGTACTACAAATCCCGAGATGAGAGCACATGTGGACAGGTCGTGGAGCTGCTGAAGTACCTGCCCCAGTTCCTGGACGGCGCAGGAGGCATGGCTTTGCGAGACGTTGACCTCATCTCGCCCGAAGACGCCGCAGCATTGTACGGGAAGCCAGTTACGTCAAAGGAAACAGGAGAAGAACGTGACCTCATGGACTACGTCAACGATTTCTTCCGCAGTCAGCCAGACTGGCCGGCTGTCAGGTCCAGCAAGATTGAGCTAACGTATAGTCAGCTCCGAGAGAAAGTCATGGACATGGCGGATCTGTTCAGGTGAGTCAAATGTCATTACACAGGTTAAAGTATATTACATGCCATTATTATTCACATAGAGTACCTTTTACAGCCTGGGGGCTCAGAGTAAAGCGATTCGACTGATTCGGGTATCGAGATCACAACTGTTTTTGTTACTGTAAATTTACGTCTAACCAATGTTGCTTCGTGTTTTTTAAATTTTAGTTTGGTTTCATTACAATGACAATAGAAATTAAAAAATCAGCCACCATAAAGGCTTTGTAAAAGCACTAAAATTACTGTTATACATTGTTATTGTAAGGACCTTTTCATGTGTGTTAGATTGTGATCCCACAATTTCAGATGTCTATGTCACACTCAAAAAAAGATTCTGTATATTTTTATGAAGGCATCTGTTTATGTGAACCAATACACGTATTTGTGTCACCAAAATGTTTTTAAAAAGACTTTGGTTCCATTTACTCCATTCACTGTATGAAACGGTAGTGGTTTAACGCCCCTATCAACAATCAACACTATTAGGTTATTTAAAAACCTGGACCTCCGAGTATTAGTCCGTCTCCGAAAGGACCGAGCTAAATGAGAAATTCGTGTAAAGTGTCTCTCCCAAGGAAACAACGTCGGACCGAGCTGGCGCTTGAAACCCCAAACCAGCAATCTCACGATTACCTATTCGGTAGCCAAACCACAAGTACACCGACGCCACTTCCTTTCATTGTGAACTCAGGCTTTTCCCCCGCCCCAACATTTTAAAGTGGCTGCTGAAAAGCATTCATACGAAGGTGGTTTTGAAAACGTTTGAATGATAGATCGACTCCTACCCTTGTTTGTTGTGCGTTTGATCCGAATTTTATTAATGCCTTTCTACCGTGTACACCCAACCCCCCCCC